GGAAAGGAGGAGTGTGCTGTCACAGTATAGGGAGAGCAATTAGGGTCACATAACAATGTATGTATAAATTTTTGTATGGGAAAAAATATTTCAAAAGTCCTAATGTAAATTTTACTTATCAGAGGAGAAGAAACGTTTTAATTTAGATTCTAGAAAATAGCTCTCTCCTTCATTTTTACATTTCAACTTTTTTTATTTCAGAGTAATTTCTTACCAGACATTACCAAGAAATATGCCAAGCCACCGAGCCCAGATTGTGGCCCGCTACCCTGAAGGTTATAGAACTCTCCCAAGAAACAGCAAGACCAGGCCTGAAAGTATCTGCAGTGTAACCCCTTCCGCTCACGACAAGACAGTAGGGCCTGGGGCGGAGGAGAAACGGAGGTCGATGAGAGATGACACAATGTGGCAGCTCTACGAGTGGCAGCAGCGTCAGTTCTATAATAAGCAGAGCACTCTCCCTCGACACAGTACTTTGAGTAGTCCAAAAACCATGGTCAATATTTCGGACCAGACGATGCACTCTATTCCCACATCACCTTCCCATGGTTCAATAGCTCCTTACCAGGGATACTCCCCTCAGCGTACGTATAGATCAGAGGTGTCTTCACCAACTCAGAGAGGAGATGTGACGATAGACCGCAGACACAGAGCTCATCACCCTAAGGTAAAGTGTTTGCTGACTTTGTGTGTTACATCACTACTTTGTGGATGCTGTGCTTTATTTCTAACGCACTGCTCTTTCTTTTAAACTTGAGAGATGAGAATAAGGCAAAGGTGGGCAAGGCAGTTCTTTTTTACTTTAAAAATTCACTTAAAAATATTCTGCAGTGTCAAAATCTCGTGTATAAAACCTAATACAATGCTTGCTTCATCTGTCAGGAACACAGAAACAATTCTGTTGAGAGGTTGCATTATGCATTTGTCTCTGCTTGATAGCATAACTTATAAGCTCTCCATGTAGGTTAAGAGCACATGCATTTTTATTGGTCTGCACACACTTGCAAATTGTACACCAGCCCTCTTCTGGTATACCTGCAGTCTTGTATCAAGCTCATGATGTTCTTTGCAGGGATAAAAGTGTTGACCCCATTTTCTAACCAGCTGAGTGTATGTTCTGTTCAGATATATTTTCTTAGGTACCTAACTTGACGTCAGAATGACAACGCTTAATGGTATACATACTTTCAAAAAATTAAGATACAGACACAGGATTAAAAACAAATCGTGTTTTAATTTGTACCTTAAGTTGATTTAAGGTTTGTTTAGTGGATTATTTGAAGTGAATTGCAGAGCGCTTTGTATCAGTCACTTTTCATAATACTAAAGCTGTTGTTTTGATCAGTCACCCTGTGTGCAGTGAGTTCCCTAATGTCCGTGCTAAAGTAAGAGAATTTTTTTCTGTGATTTGTTTTCAATCCTAATGAATTTCTGACCATTTAAAAATACACCTTTTCTTTTAGCTTTGTGACAGCCTGCATCCTTCAGTTGTATTATTACCTAAAGTGTCTGATTGATGTTTCCATAAATAATTGTTTGTTTGAAATTGATAAATCAATCAGAAATTTATTTTGAAGGAAACTTTAGTGTACCTCATTGAAAAAAGGCTCCCTTTGAACTCCATGGTAACAAAGTTCAGTGTTTTGTCACTTTGTACATCCAAAGGCTAATCACATTTGTTAAAAATAGTAACAATATTCAAGAAAAATCTGATCTAACATATTAAAATCATGTGTGGATTAAAAGTGACTAAATTGTATTCACTCATGGTCATGAATATTTTTCACATTCTTAGCCAGAATTTAAAAATCTGTTTCAGCATCAGCTGTGAGATGAATTTGTAGTCTGTCAGATTCCAGCCCACTAAATGTGCACTCCCCTTCCTCCCAAAAAATTCTCCAACGTTGCCAGACTTGTTCTTTCAAACTGTCTTTCGTCCGTCTTGACCTATACCAGTGGTTCTCAAGATGTGGTCCACAGACCCCTGTGGAGTTTCTGAGGTTCCCTAAGACTTTCAGGGAGTCTGCAAGGTCAAAGCCATTTTCATAATAATTAGATTATTATTTGCCTTTTTCACTGGTTAACATTTGCACTAATGGTCCAGAAGCAATGATGGGTAAAACTACTAGCTTCAAGGCAGTGGCTCCAAACTATGCTACTGGTCATTTTACACTTTGCTGCCGTATATGCTCAGTAAAAAATAAAATAAAATCTCAGTTTTCCTTAATGCCCTTGATTGTGAAACAATAAAAATAATTTTACTGAATCTTGATACTTGATTACTATCATCTTAATAGTCTGTGTGAGAAATGGGAATGTGAAATGTAGAAAGCATTTCTGTCACATGCCAAAGTACTAATGGTTTCTCATGGAGAAGGACTTGTGTGATTATTTTAGTTGCAAGCTGAACTAGCTCCTTTTTTCATGGACTGCCATTTTTACTGGAAAGAACAAATAACAGACTGTGGTTATTCAGAGTTGGGTATTTGACAGACTCTGTTGCTTTTTTCAAAATGAAGTATGAGCCTGTCGCTGCAAGAACAACTGACAGCGTCTGTCGCTGATGACAACATTCGCACTTTCAAGCAGAATTTAGAATTTTGGAATTTTTGCTTATGCCACTGTGAGCTTGACAGCTGTCCGATGCTTAAAGACTTTTCTAGTAAGATTGGTGGTGATATTAACAAGTAGTGAGTCATTAGATAGTGTATTGATATGAAATACGTCAACATTTGGAAGATCTGTTTAACTCAGTGAACCAGTATTTTCCAAATGACCAGTGTTTGATGTAAAATCGAGCACGGGTAAAAGTTTCATAAAAAGCACAAGTAGACCAATGAATGTTAATATAACAGTATAGAAAGTTCATTGATGTGGTTTCAGATATCACATGGCAACTAACCTTTAAGAAACTACCACTCTTCGAGCTTTAGTGTAGTGTCATGGATGAATATCCACAATTATTCAAAAAACCAGTTAAAGTTGTCTTCCTTTTTCCAACTGCACGTATCAGCAAGAATAGATTTTCTTCATATTCTTCAGTACAGATTGAATGCAGAAGCAGATAAGTGAATCTACCTGTCTTCTATTACGGCAGACATTAAAAAGATCTGCAAAACTGTAACGTAATGCCAATCTTCTCACTGAATTTTTTTTTTTAAGTCCTTAAAGGAGTCCTGAGACCAAAAAGTTTGAGAACCACTAAACTAGACTGTATAGAATTACTCTGTTCATCAGCATCTTTTTGTTTTAGTCAAACAAGAGATTTTCATATCTGTCTTCTTTCACAAGCACTAACAGTAATTTTTAAACGGTATTTCATAATATTGAAAATGTTTTTATCACAGAATTTATATTGTGCCTTTATGTTCCTAGCATGTCTATGTGCCTGACAGAAGGTCAATGCCAGCAAGCCTAACTTTTCAGTCTGTTAGTTCCCAGAGCCTCCAAGGCAAAACAGTGAGTATGATGTCTTTATTTACCATATCACATTTTTTATTTATGTGCTACACATAAAAGCATGTATCTGACATAGCTTTTAAGTTTGAATTTTCAGAGAGGTGCATCCCAAAGAAAAACCATTACTGCTTTTGCAAAAGGAGATGCTATCCGAAGAATTTGGAATCATGTAGCCATTTCATTGTCTTAGAGAATGTGGCTTTTCCTAATTATCTGACTGCCTAAATATAAGATTATATTTTTAAGGCTTATTGTATAACCTGGGATGTAGGTTCCTTCACTTCCTTGAACGTTAATTCCCTTATCCTTAAAATAGAAGTTGGAGTAATTCATTAATGAAACAAATCCAGCAAGAAACCATTTGTAGCCAGACTATAGACCTATAAAGAAGTTTCTACTGTAGATTTTTATATAGATTAACTACTTTAGAGCAAAAGGTTCTTATTTGCATATTTACACAGAAAAATAAAGACTAAAAATACTAAGTCAAAGCAAGTACCATTGTTATTTAGTTGTCAGTTCTGCCTTCAAATTGAGAAGGAGTTCTATTACCAGGACACTATTTTTCTTCAAATTAAAGAGAAAAATATGACTTTTCGTTAATTCAGTTTATTTTAAAGGCATTATTTTATCAAGGGAACTTTGCTTTAATATTAGTAGATAGTCTCAATTTCTGTGAAAATGTGATTTAAGCACAATATAGTTGTTCGCTATTTAAAATTCTCTGCAGTAAACAAAGTAGGTTCATCTTTAGTGTTTTTTGCAAACCTTTTATTTGATCTTTTACATGCTTAGATATAACTATTTGCTGGCTTTAAACTACTTGCAATTTGTTTGTTAAATATTTTTTAAATTACTTAATTAAAACGAGAATTTTTAATGTTAGAATTTTTAAATATTAGATTGTTGATCTGCCTAAGAAACAGACTTCATCATAAGATGCTGCTAAATATCGTATTATGAAATTTTTATCTTCTGCCTTACTCCCTCTAGTGGATATTTAGGATAAAATTTATTTACAACCTCTACAACTTTTTTTTTTTTTAATCCAATGTGCTTCCTTTTACTTGGCTTTAAAATTTAAATATCTAACAAACCTATTGGATTCCATCATCCTTTTGAAAATCTCTTTATCCTCCATGAATAATAAATAAGAGTTTCAATATTTCTTCTTTTCATATTTCCATCAAATATCAATCTAGGTCTTAGAATATCTAAATCCCTTACTCTACCCTACTTTCTCCCTGGCAAGACTTCATGAGCTTGGTGATGATCATAAACCTATTGCTGTCGAGTAGATTCTGACTCATAGTGACCCCGTAGGACAGAGTGGAACTGCCCCATAGGGTTTCCAAGGAGCAACTAACTGACAGATTCAGACTGCCGACCTTTCGGTTAGCAGCTGAGCTCTTAACCACTGTGCCACCAGGGCTCCATAATGTATGGAATGTCCCCGAGTCGTGAGGTCACTTGATGTGGTTGGCATTAAAGCAGAGATAGCCATGCTTTTCCTGTTATGTAGTTTCTTCCGGTCACACACACATAATAAACATTCTTTGATTGTTTAATATAAAAGACTGTTGTCTCATTTTTATAGATACCCAATTTTATCTAAAGAATCCAATGATAGCTGTGGTTTACTTCTGCTGACATTTTCTTTCTCACCTGAAGGCAATAATTGTCTTTTTAGACAGATACAGAAAAAATGATTTCTGTAACTGTCTAAAAAAGAATTGTATGGAAAATAAAGAGTAACAGCAAATGAAAGAAGAGAGCTAGCGGAGTGCCGCGGTATCGGCAAAACTGATCAAATCCAAGAATGCTTTTTCGCCTAGAAGTTTTAAGGGCACTCTGTAGCACTTAATTGAAAAGAATCTCTCTCTGACTGGCCTGCGGTTTTTAATCATAGCAAAACCCAGAGACATACTGAGTAATACTTTATAGCTTATATGACTGCCAATGAGTATATTTTACTGCATTTCTAACAAAGAAAAATGTATTAGAATGGTCTGTTAAGAATTTTCATCCACCGTTGAAAATTGATTCCCCTCAGGGATCATAGTAACCATTCGGGAGCTAAAAGGTTCTCTGCTTTCCCAGAGTGTGGAAGGAGGGTTTATGCATCCATGGAAACTTTCTACGTGTATTAAATAGGTTTTTTCTTAGAAAACTAAAATTGATTTTTTGTCATAAAAATGCCATGAAAGAACTAAAATATAATTTAAAAATATAATTGGGAAGCAATGAATAGATCCCAGGTACTGAGTTTAATATTATCATCCAAGTTTTACATGAATTTTAATTATTTTTATTTATCTTCTGTTCTCTAAAATGGTCTGTTGGACATGCAGGTATCATTCTGTTGCTTGAAAAATCTTAGGTGTAGTTTTTTAAACATCTTATTAAAATGACTTTTAATAATAATATTTTAATAAGCTCTTATATACCAACCTTTATAATGGGATTTTGCTATTGTGGAGTTTTTTATACTTGACATTTAAATATTCTCTCACAAGTTCTGAGAAAAATGCCTTAATACCATTGCTTCGTTGTATCTTTTAAAGTAACACTGTTCCTTCTATTTCTCTAGATATCTATGCATTTATGTAGGACCTATCATCATAGTGCCTAGGTGCTATGTTTGATGTCAACCATAAGAGGAAACTTGCCAAGAAATCTTGGTTTAATATCTGTCACTTAAGACAACAATTAATCTGTTTTCCACTGTTTGGATTCTTAAATTGTACTCCTTCAGCCAGAGGAGCTTACGCTGCTGCTAATAAAGCTGAGACGGCAGCAAGCTGAACTGAGTAGTATCCGGGAGCATACGTTAGCACAGCTCATGCAGCTGAAACTTGAGGCCCACAGCCCAAAGGTCAGCTATGAAGAGATCTGTCTGTGTCTGCCATTGTCACTTATTTTGAGCCATTCATTAATCGGTATGATCGGTGTCATTAGTGTTGAGCATGAGCCCATACCATCAATGCATCCACAGCATTAGGACTTGCTATTGACCCTTTGAGAATTCAGCTTATTTATTTAGACATTAGTGAAAGAAAATACAGGTAGGATGCATTTCTTTTTAGCCTTCCGCAGACTTACCAACCTTTGGTCGTGAGCGTGGAAATACATACAGACTTGAAAATAGCGTTATTATCAGATAATAATGTACTTTCCACATCTGGTAAAGGGGCTATGGAGAAGTCCTGTAATTTCCAGTAAACTATTAAGTTGAAAATTGATTATAGTTTTAATGATATTGCATTTTAAACTTATTTTAAGCTATGCCTTTTATTCTTGGTGAAAAAAATGAACAAGTGTAAACATTTCTCAAAGGGCTTAATAGCCTCTGGTTGTATGAGAAAATAACAACAGACATCTTGACTTCTTAAACATCTTATTGGAAGAAGTACTGTATTACAAAAAAGAATTAACATGTAAAACTTCTAACATTCAGTCTGCTGAAGCCATTTCAATGGTTTTTCTGTTTAAACATTTCAGTTTATATGCTTGATTTCTTATAAAACTAAGTAATTTTATTATAACTTAAGATGTCATCTGTACCATTTACAGGGAAGCATGTGTGTAAAAGTTGTCATGTACTGCGATATATAGTAGGTGCTAGTAAACTCTGTTTTTCTTATTTCAAACCTGATCTGTTCATCAATTCTGCACCTTCTTTCTCTATCCCTTTGTTTTCTTGATTGGCGCCTACTAGAATGAAATTCTTTCACATCATCTTCAAAGGAACACCATATATTTGGATCATCAGGTGGGATTTGTAGAATTTTCTTACTTACCATACCTAGTAGAACTTCTTAAATGTAGCACACTTTTCAGGCTACTCAGATATTTCAGTTACTTTGCGTTAACAGTAATACAGGCTGCCCTCAGAGCCTTCACAAGTGACAGAATAAGCAATCCCCCACTGAACAGGTGAATTCAAGAATATGATAATAAACAGGGAGAAAGAAACAGTTGTGGAGGTTAGGGGGGATATATAAATTGACTTCTGAAATTGACTTCTCTGGGCTTTATTCTTCTGCCCAAGGATAACTTCATTTCACTGAGGCTTATGTAAGCTAGGAGTTGACCTAATTAAAGGAATAGACAACAGCAAGCTATGAAATTGTCTTGTTGGAAGGGTGTAGTGTGGTCTGTATTCCCAAGGGGAAGTTTACCAAAGGGTGAAATGTGTAGTGGACATAATTTTTAATTTTGTGTTCCTGTTGTCACCTCCCCATATTTGGTCTTTGCCAAGATACGTGGAGTCAGTTTGATAGTGACCTACAATTCCTAGCATTGTAAGAACAGTGCTAGGAACAAGTTTGGCTGGTTACATTGACTGTGCAGAAGTGAAAATGGCAGTTCATGAACAAGGACTGACTCTTCTGTACTTTCTATGATGTGCTCTGTTAATATTTAATTTTAATTTGATACGAAGTTTTGGTATGTTCTCAAACATAGAATTTCTTCCAGTGAATGCATTATTTCATATAAATTAAGCTAAATTTTATTCTAGCTTTCTTTAAAAGGTCCAAATGAATATTTTCTCAAAAGGTTACTATGGAAAATGTTATAAGACAGATGTTTGTGTATTTATATTTGCCTGTTTGAAACAAAATCGTAATGTACTGCTTTAAATTATTTCTATTTAAAGAGAGGTTTTGCATTAGGATAACCCTTTAAAAGGTATCATCATTTTTCTTGTTTTAATTTTTTAAAGTATAATTTTGTTAATATAAAATTTGTATATTTTTCCACAAATGTTTTTATCATGATTTTGCCTAGTGGAATGTTTTAGAAGTCAGCATTTCAGGTATCCAAATTCAGTTCTTCAACTGAGAGACTGAGACTATTGAAATTTAACCACAGTGTGTATTGTACATCATGAAAGCAGGAAAATAAAGACACGTTGCCTAATAAAATAGGAAAATAAGTCTTCCCTCAAGATTTTACACTGCCAGAAATCTCCTCAGATATATAGGAAATAACTTTCTTAAAAGCTTTTTGAATATAAAGCTAGGTATTGTTTAAAAAAAAAGAAACCTGTTGCCATCTAGTCAATTCCGACCCATAATGACCCTATAGGACCAAGTAGAACTGCCCCGTAGTGTTTCTAAGAAGCATCTGGTGGATTCGAATTGCTGACCTTTTGGTTAACAGCCCAGCTCTTACCCACTGCGCCACCAGGGCTGCAAAGCTAGCTACAGCTCTGGAAAATAATGGGATATTATCAAAATTAGTTTTAAGAAACCGTGATATAAATGTGAATCTTAAGTTACTTGTAATCTGGAAATAAACCTAGTGGTTTTCACTGTATTTTCTGCTCACTTGGCTAAAATCAAAACTGGAAATGCAGAGACATAGAACTTTAGAAAACTTAGGGAAAGAAAAACCAAAAACCAAACTCATTGCCGTCGAGCCGAATCCGAGACATAGCAACCCTATAGGACAGGGTAGAACTGCCCCTTCGGGTTTCCGCGGAGCGCCTGGTGGATTCAAACTGCCAACCTTTTGGTTAGCAGCCATAGCTCTTAACCTCTACGCCACCGGGGTTTCTGCCTTAGGAAAGGAAAGGTAAATACATCTAAAATACTACCATTTGCTACTCCTCAACTGTCTGTGCCGGGTCCAGCTATCTTTCATCCCTTCATCTGAGTGATCCAGATCCCAGCTGAGCTTTATATTCCCATCATTCCTCTCTAAGCATGCTCTGCTGAGCCTTTCCTACTGCACCATGCTGGTGGTCTACAGGTGGCTTCTAAAAAAAAAAAATCTCAATTTTTTATCGATCCTTCCTATTCTCTCTACATGTCAGCAGAGATTTTCAGGAATTCACCTTTTTCTTATATTAGATTCTGAAATGAAGTTATTTTATTCCAATTTAAAAATTTCGTGATGATGGGAGGAATTACAAAATTGGACTCAAATGATATTTTGCGTTGAAATAAGACTTTCTGATAGCAAAAATTAGACCCTTTTTAGATAGTAATTAGACAGTATATAAAAACATGGTAGTTGCTTTGCCAGAAACTCAGATATGGTTAAATATGTATACCCTTAGGGTTTCCTAAAGAAAATCTCTCTTTAAATAAATCAAATTTCTTTATGGTTTTAAATAAGTGCACTTAGTATAACTGAAATTATTTACTTTTGCATTATTTACTATATTTTATATGAGAAATTATAGCTATTAAGTTGTATGAATTCTTGATAATTTTGAATTTTAATGAAAATTTTCATTCAGCTCAAACATTTCCAGCTTTTAATCTTGTTACTGCCAATAATCAATTTTAGATAACCAGCTCTTTTGTTTTTATAGGCATTATTGGTTGCCTGGGTTCATAAATTGATTCATCAGCTTTATATAACCACAAATCGGAAAGCAGATTCTAAAATCTGAAAGTCAGAGGCAAAGGCTCTGGTCACATTTTATGCTATACATTATACTAAATGAACATGCACTCATCAATTCTCACTTTCAGCACTTACTCTGCTTGCTCAGAATTTATTATTCTTATAATAAATCGTCAGAATAACCTAAGGCCAGCAACAAAAAGGTAATCTTCCTCCTGCCCCTTACTAGAAATTTTTTAATTGATTTAAATCCTACTAATCCCTATCACCATGCATGAAAAATAGAACCAAAGGGTAGTCTATAAATTGCTTCGGAGGTAAATTTCATTGAGATGCCACTGGAATGTCTGTAACAAAAAATGAAAATATCTGAAATTCTGAAGATTTATATATTATGTATAATCGATCTAAAACCTTGGACTTCTGGTATCTATAGCTTGAGCAGTATAATCTGGTTTATAATTTTGAAGACGAGCCATATATTGAAGTGTTGTTTTTAAAACAACAAAAACTTATACTAATTTTATGATAGAATTTTCTTCTTCTTTTTTTTTTTTTTTGTTTTATTTTGAAGTGCACTGTTATTGTTTATGCTTTTATAGCCAAGAGAGTTAGAATATTCAAAGTTTACATCACTGAATATTAGAGAAACTTTGGGTTATAGTTTAAGTGAAACTTAACCAACTTCCTCCTAAAATATCATCTATGGATTTATCATTTACTAGCTGTTTTCATGTTTCTTCTTCTGCCTAACAGTATATAGAAGGGAGAGAAAAAAGCCATAAGTAAAGTTTTGCCATAGCTCATTTCTTGCCAGGAGGTTGGAAGTAATTTCGGGATTATCAGCGGTTATAACGGTATTTTCTGTCCTGAAGAACAGAGTATCCTTTTGCAATTCTTTGAAAGTGTCAGAGTAGCTAGTGTTTCTTTTGGGAGGGAAAAGAGAATATCTTGATACATTTTCTTTTCTTCTCAGAGAAGGGCAGAGTGAGTGTAAATTTTAGAACTATATGGCTTTACCAAGCAAGCATTTGAGAATTAGGAGTCCCTAACAGTTCTATATGGATTCCTGGTGGCTTAGTGGTTAAAGCACTGACTGGGCTGCTAACCAAAAGGTCAGCGGTTCTAACCCATCAGCTGCTCAGCAGGAGAAAGATGCACTGGTCTGCTTCTGTAAAGATTACAGCCTTGGAAACCCTATGGGGCAGTCCTGCTCTGTCCTGTTGGGTTGCTATGAGTCAGAATCAACTCTACAGCACACAATAATTCCGCACACCTGGTTGGCAGTTCAGGTCCACCCAGACTCCTCAGAAGAAAGAAAGGCCTGGCAGTCTACTTCCAAAAAATCAGCCACCAAAAACTGTGGTGCATAGTTCTGCTCTGACACATATAGGATAGCCATGAGTCGAAATCAACTAGATGGCAGCTGGTAACAATGTAAGTCATTTGTTTGCAACTTGAATAATAGGTTTTCATAGAAACTTATGATAACCAGCTATCTATGATATAGATACAGGAAGGCACAGGAAGGCCATCTGATTGTTCATACACCCTACCAGTTCTTAAATGTTTTTAATAGCACCCCTGCTGGTTAGATTACCAGACCAGCCAGAAGAGGTTGTATTTAATCCAGTTGTATACCTGGAGACTGTACTAACAGTATCATACACCCTAGCCAGATTTTAAGGAAAGTATCTTTCTCAGAGAATTTATTTGGAGTGCAAACTTGGAGTCTTAGGAGCACGTATATCTTAGCTTCTACAGCGGGTCTAACATTGGGAGCAGGAAGTTCGAGTTTGTTTGTCATGCCACTTGTTAGAATTTTTCCCAGCTTCAAGTTGTCGGCTCCTATGGCCTCAGCCAGAACTGGTTAAGATGAGCAAAGGAGCCGAGCTGGGGTTTTAGAAACTAGACCAGGAGCTAGGCAAGGCCTCTCCATGAATGAAGAGGTAGATTGAAAACTAGGGCTTTTTTTGATCCAGTCATGAAGGAAGGATTAATAGGAATAAGGAAGTTAAAACATGTCCCTGTCACTAATCTGTTTTCTTTCTTTTTTTATTATTTTTATTTTATTGTGCTTTTGGTGAAAGTTTACAGCTCAGGTTTCTCATTCAGAAATTTATACACGTATTATTTTGTGACACTGGTTGTGGTCCCCACAATGTGACGGCACTCTCCCCGTTTCCTCCCCAAAATCCCCATGTCCATTCGTCCAGTTTTCCTGTCCCTGCCTTCTTGTCTTGCTTTTGGGCAGAAGTTGCCCATTTGGTCTCGTATATTTGATTGAACTAAGAAGCACGTTCATCATGTGTGTTATTGTTTATTTTCTAGGCCTGTCTAATCTTTGTCTGAAAAGTGGGCTTCGGGAGTAGCTTCAGTTCTGAGTTAACAGGGTGTCCAGGAGCCATAATC